CCATGGAATATAAATTGTGGAACAACCTACTACTTCCTATTACTAACATTTGTTTACACTTGTTTTAAGTGTGCCAATTAAAAAGTGAACTTGTATGTGTTCAAGTGCTAATTAGATCAGAGATTGGGGTCTCCAGCTGTGCTGGATGGTGTCCTGTCCTCACGGGAGATGTTCTTCTGCTGGTCTCCAGGGTCTAGAACCAGACTTACACACTGCATAATCTTTAAAGATGCTGTATATGTGCATATGCATGAGACAGAAGAAAAACATGAACTTGTCTTATAAATGTGCATTTATGTAATTGCGTGCAAAAAAAAAACTGTTCAAAGGTTTGGGGTCGGTAAGATTTTAATGTTTCTGAAAGAATTATCTTCTCTTATGCTATATCAAAAATACAGTAAAAACTGTAATTTTGTAAAATATTATTAGAATTTAAAAGAACTGTTTTCTATTTTCATATATTTTAATGTGTGATTTATTCCTGTGATGGCGAAGCTGAATTTTCTGCATCATTACTGTCACGAATCCGGTCTGTGGCCTTCCATCTGATTGCCACCAGAGATCGCCTTCTGATTATATTGACTCTCACACTACACAGACTTCCACATGTCACCATGGACTACATTTCCCATACTCCATTTCACTGATTACGTTTACACCTACAGCCAATTACACCCACTATAAGAATCAGTCTCAAACAACCATTCACGGCCGAGTATTGTAAGCGCATATCGCTACCCTAGCTGTTAGCTACTTTACGGAGCCTGCTCTAGTTTTCATAGTCTAGTTATTGTCATAGTCTTGCCTTGCCTGCTTTCCCGTGTTCAAATTCTTGCCTGAGTATTTTGGATTACCCTTTCGTCTTGTCTTTTGGATTATGTTTGCACCTTGCCTGGACTATTGCTCATGTTCCTTGGATTACCCCTCTTGTCAAGTCCTTTGGATTACATTCGCCATCGATCGACCCACGCCTGTTTAACGGATTACTCTTGTGTCTTGCCTGTGCCATCTGTCTAATAAAGCTTTGCAAATGGATCCGCGCGTCTCGTTCGCCCTGTAACAATTACTCCAGTCTTCATTGTCACGTGATCCTTCAGAAATAATTAAAATATGCTCATTTTGTGCTCAAGAAACGTCTCGGTTACGTATGGTAACCCTCGTTCCCTGAGGGAGGGAACGGAGGCGTCACGTCGGATGACCGACGAATTGGGATCCTTATTATTATCAATGTTGAAAACAGTTGTGATGCTTAATATCTTTATGGAAACTGTGACACATTTTTTCAGGATTCTTTTTATTAACAGAAAATTCAAAAGACATTTATTTGAAAGAGAAGTATTTTGTAACATAATAAATGTCTTTACTTTCACTTTTTATCAATTTGATGTTTCCTTGCTGAGATCTCCATTTCATTCATATAGGACTCTATGAAGTTTTTGTGAGCAATTGGGAAGAGCATAACAAATGCTCAGGTGGTTACAATAGATGTTGACATTAGCCTGTTGCTGAGCTAACCATACGAAACTCATATGCATACAACCTTATAGCATACACAAGTATATTGTAAAGCAGTCCATTTTTGAGCTATGCGTCCTGGGATAGCTGTCTTTGGAAAGGACACATGCAGTGCTGTCTTAAAAGTTGGTTGGAGGTATTACTGGTGACAGCATAATTATGGCGTGATGCTTTAAAAGGTTATCCAGGTAGGCAGCTCACTAGGTTTTAGGACAGAGAAAATCTTTGTAATAAAACCCTTCTCACCTCACACACACACACAGATAATACAGCACTACTTCATACACAATCTGTTCTCTCTTCTGCAAACCCTTTCATTTCTATTCCTCTGGTTTCCCTCTCTTCTTTAATTAGCATGTCTCGCTCTCTCTCTCTATGTCTGTCTCATACAATGGACCAGTCCATTAAGCTTTACATGAGAAATGAGAGCCATTTTGTAGTCATGTGACAGTGCCATATTAAAATGTTTGTAGGGCATTATGGGGCTTTCCTTATAAATAATTCAAATCCCAAAGCAATTAAAGCAGAAATCTGTTATCAGCCTTTACCTTCGCATTTCACAAAGCACAATATACTGCAGATTTCCACCTCTGCTTATACTGGGACAGTACAAACACATGATGGGTATTTGATTCTGCTGGTAACTGAGATCCCCAAAGGTCCCCTGCATGAATAAAAAAACAGAATATACTTTGAATATCTTGAAAATGTGTTATATAAGGAAAAATGATAAATATTTGAATAAATATAATAAATATTATAAAAGAAAAATCATTTTAGAAAAACTATTATTAGAACATAATGTAAAATGTATGATAAAATGTAATACAGTAGATATATACGTATGTAATACACACACATACATTTTAGAATGTTCAAACATTTTCTATAAAATGTTTTCTATAATAATATTTATTATCCTGAACTTAATTTGATGACACATATGTAACATATTAATTGCATTAAGTCATCAAAATTAAAATAAAAGGAACAAAAGCATAGTTGCAGATGCACTTTAACAAAGAGAGAGACTGACTTATCTTGATTATGATGTTGCGAAGGACATAATGACCCAGTCTGTCTCAAATATGTGAAATAACAAAAAATAATAAAGCTTTATTTTATTTTATTTTTTTATTTTTTTATTTTTTTTAAGACAAAATGCAGTTTTGTGGTCAGTAAGAAAAGATTATTGTCAGCAAATTCACCCACCTTTGTCTGATAAGGGTTGGGAAGGAGACGTGATGGGTTGGAGAATTTAGCAACTGTATATACTTTTTTTTTTGTGTGTGCGTGTGTGTGTGTGAGCGTGCAAAGGCAGCTCTTATCATCAATCACAATATTTCTCTCCTCTGACATCCCACTTTATCACTCTCTCTTTATCTTCTTCTGCTCCTTTTCTGATCCTCTTTCAATGCTCAGTCATTTTCTCTCTGTCTGCTGGTTTTGTCCTGTCCTCTATTATTCCTTGGTTTTATTTCCTTTTCACAGTCACATTTGATGTACATTTGCATTTACCACAGAATAAGTCTCTAAACACAAACTTTTTTGTTTTGCCCGTTATAGCGCTGCGGCTCCATAAATACCCTGCTAATCACCTATTGTAGTGAACTGCTGTTAAAGATGTGTGTTTCTGTTTTAAAGGCTGGTTTGATGTCATGCTGTGATTGTCCTAGTGATGAGCTCACGGTAACTGATCTCACGGTCAGAGCTCCTGCTGCGAGACACTTTCACCCGTCTCTTCTTTTGTGCTCGGTCTGTTTTTCGTTACATTGCCATTTTGTGATCATTGCAGTTGTATCATTTGGCTCATATAGTTTGGTTTTATTTACATGCTACAGCCACTCAGTATCATCTGCCAGGGGAACAGTGTGCTCTCCCAGTGAATCTCTCGCCCCAGTTTCTGAACAAATTCTTGAGCGCAGCTTTGCCACACAAACTGAAGTGTCCTTGAACACAACTTAGTGTGAGATGTGATGTATGAAATCATCCATGGATCTCTCTGCAGGTTAACTGTGCTCATGAATCTCAGTGTTGGAACACAGATTCCATTCCAGATTCTATTCCATTTCAGTCCTCTGTTAGATAAGCAGCATACATGAGTGACGTTGATTTGATCTGCTCATTGAATGTGTGATGCCAGGATCACCAGGAGTGAAGTGTTTGGGAGGATGATGAATCATATTTACAGTGCCGATATTGATCAGGCAGTCTATTTTTCTTTATTTTCTATTTCTCCACTAAGATTCAGCAAGTATTTTTTAAGCTTCAGCTTATAATATATATATATATATATATATATATATATAGCACATCTAAGATTAAAAGCACACCTATAAAAATGTATAGAATTATATCATAAAATATAATATCTAATAAAATTTACATATACTGTATATATATGTGTGTGTGTGTGTGTATAATCTTAATGAATTTAATAAATATATTTAATCCTAAATAATTTAATTTTAGGTGTGCTATATATTTTTGGCTTTTGTAAGCTTTCCACCTCTTTAAGAAATTTGAGATATTGTATAAATTGCAATGGCATCATTATAGTATTTGCATACTGAAATCTGTTTGGTCTTTCCTCTCTTGCATGTATTCACTGCCATTACATTCCAGACTGTGTCTAAACCAAAGCCTAAAATCTAAACTTATGTGACACTTTTATTCTTTTGATGCTTTGCAAGCCCTGATGTTTTCTTTAGGAAATGCAATCAAGTTTTTTTCTGTACTCTTGTTTTATTTCTGTGATTTGTTTTAATTTAAAATAAGCTTCAAAATAATATTTAACAAAATAGTAGAATAGAATTCAGTGAATTCTCTAATTCTTTTTACCAACTGTATATTTTTGCTCTTTTTTATTTTTTTTGCAGTGATCTTCTATCATCAAATTACATTGAGAGGCACATATCAGAGGAGGGGAAGTCAGTTGTCAACAAAGTGAGTATAAACTCTCATTCCAATATCAATTAAATATCTGCTTTAGACCAGAAGTATATTATACCTTTAGCTAGGGCTGGGCGATATAGCTAAAAAATGTATCAATTATATAATGTTTCATATCGTTCGGTATCGATAATTATTGACATTTTTTATAACCTTTTTTAAAACGAAGAGCAATGTATTTTTAAATTAACCCAATTTACTGAGACAAACAACAAGTCAAACACACAATAAAAATTAAACAAATATCCAATTTCTAATATTTTATATGCAGATTAAATAGGTTTTAAGGAAACTTTTGTCTTGTCTCCCGAGGCCACAGGAGGGCGCAATGAGCAAAATAATGCAGCACATTTAAATGGTCAACGCAAGGAAATAAGTCTATAAAAAAACGTGCATTATGTCTACATTAACTAAATATAATTTAAATCAAAATCAAAATATATATACATAAATCAAATATAATTTCGTAAATTGCATAAACAATTATGAACAAAACAGCATCATGTATTTATGCATTGCTTAATCCA